ACTTTTTTCTTCTGCATATATTTGCAAAACACCAATACATTCTAGAATGTGATAGTTTTTGTTGTTGTTGTTTTTATTTTTGCATAACTTTAAAATACAAGAAATTCTGATCACTGATGAACATAGATGCAAAAATCCATAACAAAATTCTAGCAAACAGAATCCAACAACATATTAAAAAAATCATACATCATGACCAAGTGGGCTTTATCCCAGGAATGCAAGGATTCTTTAATATCCACAAATCAATCAATGTACTACATCACATTAACAAATTGAAAGATAAAAACCATATGATTATCTCAATAGATGCAGAAAAAGCATTTGACAAAATTCAACAACAATTTATGATTAAAACTCTCCAGAAAGCAGGAATAGAAGGAACATACCTCAATATAATAAAAGCTATATATGACAAAACCACAGCAAGCATTATCCTCAATGGTGAAAAATTGAAAGCATTTCCCCTGAAATCAGGAACAAGACAAGGGTGCCCACTCTCACCACTACTATTCAACATAGTTTTGGAAGTTTTGGCCACAGCAATCAGAGCAGAAAAAGAAATAAAAGGAACCCATATAGGAAAAGAAGTGAAACTCTCACTGTTTGTAGATGATATGATCCTCTACATAGAAAACCCTAAAGATTCTACCAGAAAATTACTAGAGCTAATCAATGAATATAGTAAAGTTGCAGGCTATAAAATTACACACAGAAATCCCTTACATTCCTATACACTAACAATGAGAAAACAGAAATAGAAATTAAGGAAACAATACCATTCACCATTGCAACAAAAAGAATAAAATACTTAGGAGTATATCTACCTAAAGAAACAAAAGACCTATACATAGAAAACTATAAAACACTGATGAAAGAAATCAGAGCGGACACAAATAGATGGAGAAATATACTGTGTTCATGGATTGGAAGAATCAATATTGTGAAAATGAGTATACTAACCAAAGCAATCTATAGATTCAATGAAATCCTTATCAAGTTACCAACGGTATTCTTCACAGAACTAGAAAAAATAATTTCACAATTTGTATGGAAATATAAAAAACCTCGAATAGCCAAAGCAATCTTGAGAAAGAAGAATGGAACTGGAGGAATCAATCTGCCTGACTTCAGATGATACTACAAAGCCACAGTCATCAAGACAGTATGGTACTGGCACAAAGACAGAAATATAGATCAATGGAACAGAATAGAAAGCCCAGAGATAAATCCACATACCTATGGACACCTTATCTTCAACAAAGGAGGAAAGGATATACAATAGAAAAAAGACAACCTCTTTAACAAGTGGTGCTGGGAAAACTGGTCAACCACTTGTAAAAGAATGAAACTAGAACACTTTCTAACAGCATACACAAAAATAAACTCAAAATGGATTAAAGATCTAAATGTAAGACCAGAAACTATAAAACTCCTAGAGGAGAACATAGGCATAACACTCTTCAACATAAATCACAGCAAGATCCTCTATGACCCACCTCCCAGAATATTGGAAATAAAAATAAACATAAACAAATGGGACCTAATTAAACTTAAAAGCTTTTGCACAACAAAGGAAACTATAAGCAAGGTGAAAAGAAAGCCTTCAGAATGGGAGAAAATAATAGCAAATGAAGAAAGAGACAAAGGATTAACCTCAAAAATATACAAGCAACTCCTGAAGCTCAATTCCAGAAAAATAAATGACCCAATCAAAAAATGGGCCAAAGATCTAAACAGACATTTCTCCAGAGAAGACATACAGATGGCTAACAAACACATGAAAAGATGCTCAACATCACTCATTATCAGAGAACTGCAAATCAAAACCTCAGTGAGGTACCATTACATGCCAGTCAGGATGGCTGCTATCCAAAAGTCTATAAGCAATAAATGCTGGAGAGGGTGTGGAGAAAAGGGAACCCTCTTACACTGTTGGTGGGAATGCAAACTAGTACAGCCACTATGGAGAATAGTGTGGAGATTCATTTAAAAACTGGAAATAGAACTGCCATATACCCAGCAATCCCACTTCTGGGCATACACACCAAGGAAACTAGATCTGAAAGAGACACGTGCACCCCAATGTTCATTGCAGCACTGTTTATAATTGCCAGGACATGGAAGCAACCTAGATGCCCATCAGCAGATGAATGGATAAGGAAGCTGTGGTACATATACACAATGGAATGTTACCCAGCCATTAAAAAGAATTCATTTGAATCAGTTTCAATGAGGTGGATGAAACTGGAGCCCATTATACAGAGTGAAGTAAGCCAGAAAGATAAAGAGCAATACAGTATACTAACGCATATATATGGAATTTAAAAAGATGGTAACGATATCCCACTATGCAAAACAGAAAAGAGACACAGATGTACAGAACAGACTTTGGGACTCAGTGGGAGAAGGTGAGGGTGGGATGTTCTGAGAGAATAGCATTGAAACAAGTATACTATCAAGGGTGAAACAGATCACCAGCCCAGGTTGGATGCATGAGACAAGTGCTCAGGGCTGGTGCACTAGGAAGACCCAGAGGGATGGGATGGGGAGGGAGGGGGGATCAGGATGGGGAACACATGTAAATCCATGGCTGATTCATGTCAATGTATGGCAAAAACCACTACAATATTATAAAGTAATTAGCCTCCAACTAATAAAAATAAATGAAAGAAAAAAACTGGAAATAGAACTGCCATATGACCCAGCAATCCTACTCCTGGGCATACACACCGAGGAAACCAGATCTGAGAGAGACACGTGTACCCCAATGTTCATCACAGCACTGTTTATAATAGCCAGGACATGGAAGCAGCCTAGATGCCCATCAGCAGACAAATGGATAAGAAAGCTGTGGTACATATACTCAATGGAATATTAGTCAGCCATTAAAAAGAATTCATTTGAATCAGTTTCAATGAGGTGGATGAAACTGGAGCCCATTATACAGAGGGAAGTAAGCCAGAAAGATAAACACCAATACAGTATACTAACACATATATATGGAATTTAGAAAGATGGTAACGATAACCCTATATGCAAAACAGAAAAAGAGACACAGATGTACAGAACAGACCTTTGCACTCTGTGGGAGAAGGCGAGGGTGGGATGTTCTGAGAGAATAGTATTGAAACAAGTATACTATCAAGGGTGAAACAGATCACCAGCCCAGGTTGGATGCATGAGACAAGTGCTCAGGGCTGGTGCACTGGGATGACCCAGAAGGATGGGGTGGGGAAGGAGGTGGGAGGGGGATTCAGGATGGGGAATACATGTAAATCCATGGCTGATTCATGTCAATGTATGGCAAAAACCACTACAATATTGTATAGTTATTAGCCTCCAACTAATAAAAATAATTGGGGGGGGGGGAGAAAGTCTGGTTCTAATTTCCTGCAAAGCACTCCATGCCACAAACCTCATAGTACTTCCAAATAGCTATTTGGATTAAACTTAGAATCATAGTTTATGAAAACATAGTTTATGAAACCGTAGTTTACTCATGCTTTTTTTTGTTCTTCTTCTAGACTTTCAGTATTATTAGGCTAATGAAATACTGAGATATTACAGAATATTGTTTTCAGTTACCTATAAAAGAAAAACGTTCTGGTTTAGCAATTCACTTGCCCAAATTGATTATCAATCAAGAACACATTCATTGCATTTAGCACATATAGCTAAGAATCTACAACTCTTTGATTCTTTGGCATTTTTAACTGATTTAGTCCAGTTCAGTTCAGTCACTCAGTTGTGTTCAACTCTTTGTGACCCCATGGACTGCAGCACGCCAGGCCTCCCTGTCCATCACCAACTCCCAGAGCTTGCTCAAACTCATGTCCATTGACTTGGTGATGCCATCCAACAATCTCATCCTCTGTATTCCCCTTCTCCTTCTGCCTTCATCTTTCCCAGTGTCAGGGTCTTTTCCAGTGAGTCAGTTCTTTGCATCAGGTGGCCAAAGTATTGGGACTTCAGCTTCAGCATCAGTCCTTCCAATGAATATTCAGGACTGATTTCCTTTAGGATGGACTGGTTGGATCTCCCTGCAGTCCAAGGGACTCTCAAGAGTCTTCTCCAACACCACAGTTCAAAGGCATCAGTTCTTCAGTGCTCAGCTTTCTTTACAGTTCAACTCTCATATCCCTACATGACTACCAGAAAAACCATAGCTTTGACTAGACAGACCTTTGTAGGATCTTTTAACTGATTAGATGACTCTATAAATTAAAAGAGAAAAATTCAAAACAGTTGGTCAGTGACATGAATGATAATGATATTCAGTGACAAGATAATAATAAACCAAATAGCTAACAAAGTTGAACACAGTTTTCTATGTAGTTAGTGCTTTAAAATACTATGGTCATTGACATTTGAAAAGAATTCCGTCACATAGTTTGTTCTTAATCTAGTTGAATGCACAGCTTTTAATAGAGAGGATCACTGTGATTATCATGACTGCAGCTCCCCAATGCTAACCCAGCCAATTGAAGACTTGGTGATGGCAGTACTTGTGGAGTTATTCACTGATTTATTTTCAGCCTTTCTTTGTGTAATGAGTTACTCATCTCAATTTCCCTTTTTTGTTCCATGTACTCATTTTTAAGTAAAACACATTGTTTGTTTTTCTACTAGAAATATTCAAAAAGTGGAGGGAAAAAAGCAATTACTACCTTGGTGGCACTCAGCAATAAAAGAAAAGTTTGCACACTTTCTCCACTTGAATACATTCAGCATTTTTCTTAAAATTAACTCCCACTCTGTTCCCTGAACTATACTCTTCAATGAACGTATAACTTGCTGTATGTTCTGTTTCTCTTGGTAAGTAGAACCAGAGACTTGTTCAAAATGCTGACAGCACATTAGCTCAGACATATAGAGACAAACTCTGAAGACTGTAAGTTTTCTCCTCCACATTGTTTTTCTAGGCATCTGTCAAGAGGGAATGAAAATGAGTAAGGCTTGGAGCAGTGTTCACATCTTGCCATTCATGCTCTGCATTTTTAAACGGAGTCCACCTTTATTAGGTTATGGTTGGCTATTAATGGAGAGGGTTTGCGTTTAATTCTATCTGCTACGTGATTGGAGCTATCCGCAAAGAACATCTTGGTGGTACACAATGAGACTATAATTTTTCGGTATTCCTGCCTGAAATTTTGGTTCAGTAGTCCATATATGATCGCATTGAGGCAGCTGTTGAAATACGCCATATAGTAACTGGCCACAAACAGCCACTCGGGGATCCTGGGTGCCATGCTGGCGGGGTCGGAGGCCACAATGAGACCAATGAAATTCAGAGGAGCCCAGCAAATAGCGAAGAGGACAAAAACCACAAACATGGTGACAAAATTCCTGAAATCCTGGGGCTTCAGCTTTGGTTTGTTGTCGGGTTTCACCCTCCATCTGACCTGAAGAACCAGGGCCCAGATCCTCAGGTAACAGAAGATGACTACGAGCATCGGGACGATGAAATGGAACACCACCACGGCGATCGTGTAGGCTGAGCTGACAGACTGCGTGAAGGTGCAGGAATAGACCCTCGGGTCATACTGCAGGGTTCCCACACACAGGTTGGGCATGATGGCCACGAGCGTCAGCATCCAAATCAGGAACACGCAGCAGAGGGAATTTTTGCTGCTGTACAGTCGGCCATATCTGAGGCTGTGGCAGATGTAGCAATAGCGATTGATGGCAATTCCCGTGATGTTGAAAACGGACCCGATGACGCTCAGGCCCATCAGGAAGCCACTAAGTTGGCAATGCAGGGAGCTCAGGCTCCACCCATTGTTAACTATAGATGCCAGCGCCAAGGGGTAGGGATACACGGCCCCCAGCAGGTCTGCAACTGCCAGGCTCACCACAAACACATTCCCTAAAAGAGAAGGGTTTAGAAAACATGGGTTAGGGCCAGTTTCACACGGGTGTACATGCGTTTTCTTTCACAGGTATTCGACAGAGAGCTGTGTCTACTGCTCGGATGACCCCACATCACAGTTACTGAAAGAAAGTGAAAAGTGTTGATCACTCAGTCGTGTCCAACTCTCTGCGACCCCATGGACTGTAACCCCATCAGCTCCTCTGTCCATGGGATTTTCCATCAAGAGTACCAGAGTGGGCTGCCATTGCCTTTGTGGTTAGGGCCAGTTTCACGTGGGTCGCATGGGTTTTCTTTCACAGTTTTTAAAAAAGAGCTAGGTCTGCCACTTGGGGGACCCAACATCACAGCTTCTGCCACATTCTAAAAGAAGTGGAAGCCGTTTCCCCAGGAACTGAACTCTTCGTTGTCTGTATCAGATCAACTCCAATGTTCCCAAGCTCCCAGATTCCCCAAACAACGCATGTTCCATGGTCAAAACTGTTCTCTTTTTAACTCTTTGGTTTCTCTTGTGCTTTAAAAAAAAATAATCTTGAGTTCAGGATACTCCCATCACGTCTTTTATTCTGGAATCGTCTACATTATCTGAGAAACCTCATATTGCATTTTTATTTTTTCTCAAGCCAGTCAGGACTTCCTTAAGTTCCAGGCCTTTTATCTCTCTCTAGCTCTTCATAGGTTCTCACACTCCTGTTCCCGGACAACAGAGGGCCCTCGTCCACAGCATAGTTATGAGAAAAAGCATCCCATTATCAGCGGCTAGGTTAGAATGTTGGCTTCGCCCCTTACTAGCTGTCTAACTGGGGCAAGTTACATTATCACATAAAACTTCAATTTCCTCTTCTGTAAGTGGGGATAATGATGGCATTGTCTTTGCATGGTATGTTGAGGACTAAATGAGGCCATCGCTGTCAAGTACTGAGCAGTGTCTGTCACATGATAGCTGATTGGTAAATGTTCTATAACTCTCTCACCTCAATCCAAAGGAAAAGGGAGAAATTAGTGTTTTTAGATTTTATAAACAACTTAAGGTAGAAAAATTAAACTCTAGATAATCAGAGTAAGTAACAATCTTATATGAACACAATAATTCAACATATTTTAAAGTTTAAGTATATTCTAGTCAAATTTTACAAGCTCTTTTACAAGTATATTAAAGTAAGTCCCCTACACATGAACAAGTTCTGTTCTGAGAGCGTGTTCTTAAGTCCAATTTGTTTGCAAGTCCAACATAGTTAGCCTAGGCACCCAACTAATAGAATTGGCTATATAGTGCTCTGCTGTAATAGGTTTATGATACTTTTCACACACATAATACATAAAAGTGCTAGTCAGTCATGTCTGACTGTTTGTGACCCCATGGACTGTAGCTCTGTCAATGGGGTTCTCTAGGGGTGAACAGTGGAGTGGGTTACCATTCCCTTCTCTAGGAGATCTTTACAGGCAGATTCTTGACCATCTGAGCCACCAGGAAGGCCAAAATACATAAAAAAGAAACATAAAAGGAATCAAACATTTTTAATCTTACAGTACTTGAAAAATACAGTAGTCCAGTACAACATTTGGCACACAGGGGCTGGCATCAAGCGAACAGGCAAAAAGAATTACCAACAGGAGGGGGAGAGGAGGTGGGAGATGGTAAGGCTGATTGTCGGCAGGTGACGGAGGGCAAAGCTGCAATTTCACTCACGCCTGACGTGGCTGGCACAGGTTCTGGTTCCTTGCTGGATTCAATTCTATCTCCCCTCTTGAAAAAACCGATCCCGTGATGTCTGGATAGTAGCTCTTTTTATTCTCATCATAGATGACAGAGTAGTGCTGAATCGCATTGTGGAAGAAAGGTGGCCACAACCTTTGTGGACCATTCTATGTTCAGGTCCTGTGTCTCCAAAGCTATCAGTGCCTCCTCAGATAGAACTAACTTAGGTGACTGGACATGTGAATGCACGTTGACAGCTTTGAAAGTTTGCCGCTTGAAGGCTCGTATGTAGGGGACTTACTGCATTTACTTTTGTGGTTTGTTTTCCTTTGTTTCATACTATGCTTCGGCCCTGAGCAGCTCCTCCCCTAACTTTTCATTGCTCCCCATCCCTCCCAGTCTGTGTTAAAAGAAATGCTTAGAACCGTCGCTGTTTGCCCAACCACATGGAAGGGCATTCTCTTTTCAAGGTTCCTAAATCACTTTATTTTCACAACTTTCAATTTAGGTTAATGTTGTAATAAATTCCATTCAGTAAAAATGTATTAAGGGCATAGGTTCTGGGGAAATGGGAATGAACAGGCAGAATTCCTCCGACCCTCGACCTCAGAAAAACAAACACAATTTAAAAGAGAAGGAAGAAGTACAACATGAGTACGTACAGAAGACGAGACAGAGAGGAAGGGAGGGGGGCTGGACAGAGTGGGAAGAACATTTCAGGCAGACTGGTGTGTGTTATGCTTTGATTACACTTACTTGCAAACTTGGCTTTCTTCTGTTTCTACACTGTAGTCCCCTGAGATCGTCTGCCTGATATTTATATCCTGAATAGTACCCAGCTGAGACTTTTGCTCTAATGTTTGAGGAAATAAATTAAATTGTCTTCTCGCAACATCTGAAATAAAATAACCTTTGCGAGATTTCTGACTGAAAAATTTTATTCCATCCTGAAAAATGCTGCAAAGAAGTGAAGTAAAAAAGCTGCAGGGACTAAAAAAGTAAGTAAGTAGGAATGCAAGTAGGAATTTCAGATAGATTGTCATGAAAACAATTTTCTTTGAAAATTGGTTATACTGAGCCAAATTGAAGCCATAAAAGCAAATTTATTTTCCCCACAGTTCAATTTCAATTAAAAATGAAATGTTTAAATTCTAACGTGGGCATATTTCAATAAATTTTTTGACTCAGCATGTTTAATACCTTAGAAATGAGTAGAATATATGAAACTCAGCTACAAATTAAATTCTCATCAAAACAGTACATTTTTACCCAGAATGTTATGATGACAAATGGGCTTGAAATATATTTTTTTTTAAGTTTTAAAATAAGATAATAAGTGATGTCACAAATTTCTTTCATGGCTTTAATCCTCTGCTCCATTTATTTTATAGTGATTATGCTTCTTTTCTGTTCAAATAATTATCATAATCAAATGATTCATTTTCTTTTCTTTGAAAAGATCCTAGTTTGCAAGTGGAGAAGAAAGAATGAAGCCAAAGATTCTATGCAGATGTTGTTGGGGAGCTCAGCTAGAGGCTATGTCACAGCTGCAGAAAGTGTGTGTGTGTGTGTGTGTGTGTGTGTGTGTGTGTGTGTGTGTGTGTGTGTGTGTGTGTGTGTGTGTGTGTGTGTGTGTGTGTGTGTGTGTGTGTGTGTGTGTGTGTGTGTGTTATGACAGGGAAGAGGAGGAAAGATAGTTCCTATTTTTCATTTAAGAATGCTACCAGATGAGAGTAATCACAATTAGACACCTTGCAAGGTCATCGCTTCCATCTCAGCTCTGGGTAACTCCAGATAGATACAACCTATCTGCTTTTACAGACATCTAAGAGTCTATACAACCAGCATAACGATGCACTCTGAAATTTAAAATAATCTCTGTTAATGGCTTACTGGGTTCCAGTCCTTCCTCCAAGGTCCGAGTTTGCCCCCACTCTCCCTCTTGACATCCATCTTTTCTTCTCAACTGCTTTGTCTGTGAACTTCAGGCTTGGAATGGTTAATTTTATGTGTCAACTCGACACTATCTTGGTACATGTGGTTAAACATTTCTGGGTGTGTCTCTACGGGTGTTTCAAAAAAAGTACACTTGAATCAGTAGACTGAGTGAAGTAGAGGCCTCCCTAGTGTGGATGGGCAATCATCCAATTCATTGAGGGCCTAAAGAAAACAGAAAATTGAAGGAAAGGAGAACTTGGCCTTGCTGGCTGTCTTACTGAGCTCAGTCTTCCCCTGATCTTGGACTGGGACTTTTGCCTTAGACACTCGAAGGTCTTCAGGCTCAGACTAGAACTCTGCCCTGGCTCTTCTGAGCCTCCAGCTTCAGATGGTAGACTGTGGGATGCCTCAGCCTCCACAGTCATGTGAGCCAACTCTTCATGATAAATATAGCATCTTTAATGTATATAAATGAAACGCATTCATCCCTGAAAATCTGATGAGTGTTGGGTGCTTCCGTCCACTGCAGCTGTGCCCTTCTCCAGGGAAATGCCCTTAGTGGACCAATGAATGACCAGCTGACCCTAGAGCACAAAGGCCAGCCCTTCTGCCTCGAGTGGTGACAACCGCATGGTTGGATTTCCTCCCAGAGGCCTTGGCCTCAAGGTCAGGCCAAGTCTAGGCTTCACCTGCACCCCCACCCTTGTCTGACTCTTTCCTGGCCTGGTCTCCTTCCCTCACTTACTTCTGCTCCCTCCTGAGTGCACACTTTCTACAAAGCATGAGCACCAAACCTCTGACCTTGTTCTCAAGTTCGGCTTTTAGGCAAAATAAGACAGACCTTCAGCTCTATGATGAGTCTGGGTGGTTTTTCGAAAGATGTCACCAGCTTCTCGGTGCAAAAAGAGGAGCTAGTTGCTATGACATCTTACAAACCAACCAACCAGCCTCTTTGGGCACAAGTTATAGACTCTGAATGCTTCTCAGCATCACTCTTCAATTCTTTCATCCTCACTAGGAATGGACATGCTTCCTACATCTCCCCTCCACCTGTGCGTGGAGGTCTGTCTTCCTCTAAGACTATTTGAGATTCAGGACCGTGCGAAAGAATCTTTCAATCCTCCCTGACAGCACGGTGCCTGGCATATAACAGGTACCAAGAACAGTCTCCTGGATGAGCTAATACATCCCTGGTCTCTAAACAACACCTGTCCAGAGCAGAAATTGCATGCTCTTACCTGCCCAAATTTGGGTTTCTCAACAAACCAATATTCATTTCTTCTTTCATTTTCAGCCTGGACTTCACCCGTGTGCAGAGCACAATTAGAGACTCACTGAATTCATTGCTCATGAAGATTTT